CTTGCACAACATCGAAGTATACAGTATACTATAGCAAAAATTGACAACCCTTCTGGGGCGGCGAGTCAGCCGATAGCCAAAAACAAGAGGTTCGCCCGAACAGTGCGACACACGCACCCCAAAACTGGCCATGAAAATATAGGGAAATGGATGGAAAATTGATGGATGTGGTATGTTCCATAAATGGGGGTACCCCAAAATGGATGGTTTATGATGGAAAATCTCAGATCTCATTAAAATGGATGATTTAGGGGTTACCCCCATTTTAGGAAACCCCCATGTGTGTCCCTGATTTTTCTAAACACAAAACCCTTTTTTGTGCCATGGTCAGAACAAGGAGCGCATAAATCCCTATTGAAATTTTGATGACCATCCCCAAAAAAATCATGGGCTAATCTAATCCAACTAACTTGAACATAGCCCAGATTTGTTTAATTGTCTTGACATGTTTTGACTAGCCACATCAGCGGCCAAAATTCGCGCCTCATTCAAATAGTGCCGGCAACTTTCACCGACCTGGCCAAGTCTAGAGAACAAGTGGGTCGGGATCAAGCTTCAACCCCAAAAAATCATGGGAAAACTGCTGAAAGCACCTTCAAATGCTACCAAAAAAATGGCATGCGATGTGAATTGGGTGTGCTTGAAAATTGGGTCTACCCCCATTTTAGGCCATAATCATGGGGATACGTATGATCAACATTCATTTTTGGGGGGAGCCATATTTTCAGACAAACCCAACTACTGTTGTGGTTGGGAACAACTACCAAGTGGTACATGAGTCGGGACCAATGGCTGGTCATTTAAGGGCCATTTAGCATGATAATCACACATGGCAATGGAAAATCCCCTATCCATTGTTGTTTTTGTTGATGGGAAAATCTGTAAAACCCTGGACTTTCCAGCAAGCCGGCCGGAGCTGAGGGTAGGACTCAGAATGAGCCAGTGACTCATTTAGCATTTTGTGATCCAAGCCGGTGCACTGTGAGCCAATCCCATCAGTACTCCATCACTACTTCAGTGTGTTGAAAATGGCCATGGGGTGAAGTAATCCAATCCCCCTTCATATTTTATCGACCCCGCATGGTTCTAAAGAATTCTAAAGATATGTAAAGTAAACCATTAAACCATGAAATGAAGTTTCTTTTCTTGATATTAATCCTGCGCAGGTTGTTTCTGTAGCTACTTCTCTACTTTTTTAGATAGGAAAAAATGATGCTAAAAGATCTTGGATGGCAGGTTTTAATATGAACGGGCGAAGGGATCAACAAATTTTCAGATGGACAAGCTGTCAATGGGAATTTCAGGATCCTAAAATGGTCCGTGACGGTACCATGTTCCAGGCCATATTTCGTGGGGATATTCCTGTGCTTAGCCCTTACAAGCTGGCCTGGATTTTTTGTGCTAGGTACCTCCAATTTTCCTCGGTTCCGGAAATGAGCAGTGTTCAAAATCAATCCGTGTATCATTCCATTGAATCCTGGTTGGTTTTTTTCGGCATTTTCCGATTGGATTATTAGAATCCCCAATCTGGTTGGTGGTATACCTACCCCTCTGAAAAATATGAGTTCGTCAGTTGGGATTATGACATTCCCAATATATGGAAAAATAAACAATGTTCCAAACCACCAACCAGATTGGGTAGTATAATCCCCTACAATCATCAACCAACAGGGCTTTTGAACACTGCTCAAATGGCCATTGAATCTGCACTGCTTCACGGCACCTTGGGTATGGATTGCACGCACCCCAATCCGCCAAAGCTCCCAGAGGTGTAACCTGCAACGTCGTCCTGCGCAAGATCCCATAAGCCGCTAAGCCATTTGTAACGCCGAACTCAAAACTTATGATTTTTTCTGAACCTTAATGGACCTTTATGAACTTTCTAAGCCATGTGTAAGCCATTTTTTGGCTAAACATAGAGAAACAAATGATAGACATCGGGATGAGCAGCTCAAAAGATATGTGGCGCAAACTTTGCGTGGCATGCCAGGCTGGGCAACTACTAGAGCCAAAATTTGATCGATCCGAATCTGGGGTGTAAAATTCGTTACAGGATGGTGCCCCCCAGTGACGTGAACCTTGGTTTGTACACCCCATGAATACCATAGCTATCTAGTTCGTTATGTCGGGGTGAGGTTTATTAAGAAACCGCCAATCCAAAGGATCAGATGGTGCCAATGAAGGCCGCAGTGCAACGCACTGATTTTGACATGGACGCGCGCCAGGATGACTCAAGGCGGCTCTTTGATCTCCTCCTTGTCCTCCGGCTGAGGGATGCGCTTGTGGAGGTACTCCATGACCATCTCCTGACGAATTGAGCTGATAGTCATAAACAGCGCAATCATCAGTCTTCGCCATGATCTCTGTGCCTTCTCCGCCTTTCGACCACCAGCCGGGCTCTCCTCCAAGTTGGCATAAGTCTTGCGCAGGCGGTGCATTCCGGCGAGCACAGAGACACAAAATGCTCGGGATCAACTTCTTGAGCATCTGTGCAGGCTTCGAGGTAGGCGAAGCATTGGATGAAGTGGCAACAAAACGAAGAAATTGGAGAATGCTGAAAACGCTCAAAAACATTGGATTCTCAAATCGCACTGCCTTCCCAAAATTCTGTTTGTCGACACTTGACTGCACTGGTTCATGAAGTTGTAAACCAAAAGTTGGAGATTGATCATGAAATTCCACCAAAATGTCATCATCACGACTCAAATCAAAATGTTGCACTCTGTGCCCTGCATCGGTGGTTCCCAATGGCACCTGCAATTGCTGTTGGCTGCTGACGGCTGGCATTGGTGAAGCCTGCAGTGAACCATCGTGCACGGAGAAAACAGCTGTTGGGTAGAAGATGATGAAGGTGGGGTACATGAAACTGGAGGGAACTCAACATCATGGATGATGTTAAATTGGTTCAAAGAGCATTCATCGCAAACTGCGGTCTGTGATGTCAAAGTGGCTGACCCATCATGCTGCGGTCCATTTTGACTGCGGCTGTTCCACTGTCGATTGGCAATGTTTGCCCATGACGATGAGGGTCTTGTTGACCCAGAAGACGATGAAGCGGTTGAAACAAGGCTATTGAAGGCCATCCGGCAAGTGTCATCTGCTGGCATCGAAATCCCTTGAGTTCCATCTTGTGGCACAGGAACATGTGCAGCTGAAGCAAAGATCACTGATCCACTCCAAGGCCCCTCCAAACTGCGAGCTCCAGAGGAATGTTGCCAAAGATCTCGGATGACCAAATGGCGACCATTTCGAAGGTAAGCATGCGTCACCCTCTGAGGTTCCAGTGCTGATGGATCTTGTATTCCACATTCCATAGGCATCACCATAGACCAAGGCTGGGCTGGCAGGTCTTTCAAATGGTGAAGTGTGTCGCCCACCATCAACCAAACCTTCACGATCTTTTGCTCCACGTCAGCTGCATAGGCAATGGCTTGTTACGGCAGTAGAAAAGGATCAACATCTGGATCTCTGCGAAGGTCTCGGGGCAAATCCCAACCTTCATCAGCAAACTCCATGATGTTGATAGCCCTGTGCTTGGTCGGCAATCGCCGCATGTCTGTGGATCCTCCATTTTCCAAAATGAGTTGGTTGTGCTTGCAATCTACCATGGCTCCTACGCTCTCCAGCCAACTGATGGGTAACATGGGTGGTGTTTGGTGATCAGCTCCATCTTGCAAAACAGTGAAATGAAGTGCCCCATTAGTTTTGGCCACTCCAATTGGAACATGAGCTGTCCCCTTCACCTTTGCCGCACCTCCAATGCCACCAGCTCCAGGAAGAGGTCCATGTTGTTGCCAAAGCACACAAAGTCCTTTCTGAGCCAACTCATTCTCCAAGCGTTCCATCGCTCGATGTCCAATCACTGCCTCCTCTGCCGCGGTGTCAACCAAAGCTTCGAAAGGTTGGCATTGGACTGCATGGAAAATCATCACTCTGCATGGCACTGATTCATCATCCAACCGGGCTGCCTGGGAGGCAAACATGAAAACTTGTGGTCCCGTTGAAGTCATCAAAAACTGTTTGCGCGGGGCCATAGTTGACAAGCCACCCTTTTGTTTGCCATCTTGTTTCAAAGGACAGTCTTTGGAGATATGGCCCAACTCATCGCAGTTGAAACACCTGGTTCTTGAAATCAAATCATCTTCATATGACTTCACAACTTTGGAGCCCTTGTTGAATTTGCCCTTTCCCTTGCCAACATGGTAGGGTTTGTAGGAACCTTTCCCCTTGGTTTTCCACCACCATCTCTGCCTCTTTTCACAAAGCCTCGCTCATTGCGACGTTTTTGCAGTTCACGTCGAACATCTCGGTAAGCAGAATGGTATTCCATGATTTCCATTGACTCCTGTTCAGAAAAGTCCTTGTCCTCGAAGTAGATGAAAGGATTGCCCTGCTCATCCTGTGAAGACACTCATCATCTGTATCGCCCTCCACATGATTCTCGTCATATTCATGGGCCTCCCCATCTACCTGAGCATCATTGGAGTCATGGAAGGTGGCATAGTTCTTGATAGACCCTTGAGCTCTATTGAGCATCTCCGGACGGTCCAAAGTTCTCAACAAATTAGCAATATCCTCAAACGTCCGCAAAATGGGAGATCGCAGCATCAAAAGCTCCCTTTGCAAATCGTTCACGTTGCTATGTTTCAAAAGCACCCGTCCAGCTAAACGTTCACTAATCTTCTCGCCCATCTGCATCTCCATCTCCTGCAATGAAATCTGTTTTGCGGCAACATATGAGGTGAAGGTTTCAGACTTCTGCCTTTCACCCTCATACAGAAACCTGTCAGAATGGCTGAATAGCCCTGAGGTGAAAGCAACACCTGCGTAGGGACAGTGTCTGCTATCCTTCTCGGCTGAGAGTTCTCCTGAAAACTTTGCAGCAAACGGATTCCCCTTTTGTTCATTGGCAGGGTCGTCTCAAATTCCCACAAAGCTAAAACTTTGAGCCACGAGCGCAGTGTTTCCGCATTTCCATTCCACGTCGGAATTGGTTTCTTCTCTCCAAGCTGATGCAGAGCGCTAGCAATGGCAGTGTTTGTAGGCTGGCCGTCAGGCCCCAGCTCCCCAAAGGTATTTCCACTTGGTGGAAAAGGTCGTGCACCCCCAAGCAAATCAAAAGCTGAGCTCTTCGGTCGATTATCACCACCCATAGGCTGTCCAGTAGCATTGCCTAAAGCAGAAGCGAATGAAGCAGCATTGAATCCAGTTGGAATACTTGGTTGTCCAGTCTGAACTCCAGGGTGGCCATATTGCATCGCCTGCATCGGATTGTGTTGGTTCCCAAAACTTAAACCAGCAGGTCGAGAGGACGAAGAGCACGGAATTGAAAAACCTGGGTTAAACATAGTTGAAGCCTGGCTGATGCATCGGCATTGGCAGCACTTGGAATTGTAGCTCCAGTGGGTTGACCAGCGAAGTTTCCAGACATACGTTGCCGATACTCAGCCCAAGGGTCACTCATCTGTCGCAACCACGCTCCGCTCACCACTGTCGGGGTGAGGTTTATTAAGAAATCGCCAATCCAAAGGATCAGATGGTGCCAATGAAGGCCGCAGTGCAACGCACTGATCTTGACATGGATGCGCGCCAGGATGACTCAAGGCCTATGAGAAACAACGGCAGCGGAAGGAAATCAAATGAATCAAATTTGACTCAACTGTTCCTGCATGTCATCAGTTATATCAACTTATATCTACCATAAACATCCATAAACCAGAGTTAATTCAGCCACAAACATCAACCAACTGCGAGCTCGACTGGGGGGCCCATCCTGTATGATATCTGTATGGTAAACTAACGTTGAACTAGCTCCCGAGCCGCCTCTACCCTCACCAGGGGCTCCGACCTTGATGGCAAACAGCCCGATGGTGGGGACTTAAGGGAAAGAAAAACATCCCAAATGGAGAATTCAAAAAGGATTCAGATCGCAAAAATACCTTTTGCCTGGCAAGGTGATATCAAAAACTCTGATGTTTGATGATATTAGACCCAATTTATTTTCTAAAAGGACAATTTGCAGACTAGATATGAACCTCCTGGCCACAAAAATCCGACAACACCGCAACGCTTGGCGCTTGGGGACAAGACTAAGCATCTGAAAAATCTTGAAAAAGTGCATCTATGAATCATCTATGTGCATCTTCTCTCCACCTTTTTCAGCCCAAGCTTCCGAGGATCAGCTGCCTTTGGATACACCGCATGGCTTGAGCTCATGAAGCCATGATTCGGCCCGACGGCTGGGGGGGCTGTCCTGATCAAGGGATTCGGTTTGTGTTTTCCTTGGGTCGCCCTTAATGGGTAAACATCACCCAAGATCCAACATTGGAAAACAACATGAAAACATCTCTGGTTTTTCTGACCATCGCATCCCGAAAAAAAAATCATGTGACTATGGTGACCATGTGAATGCTAACAGATTTCATTAAATTCATTAACAGCTAACATCCCTGGATCAAGAACCCTAACATCATGGAACGATCGATTTTGATGAACAGCGAGGGCTACGCTGGAAGCTTGAGAAAGGATGCTGCCACACTCAACGGTGACGCCGGCCCTTCGGGATGCCGCGACGTAACGTCTCGCTCGCCCCTTTTGACAGTCGCGGTGCCGCCCAGTACGCCAGCTGCAAGTTTGAGAGTCTGAGAATGTGCAGAACATACGCTGCCAATAGGAAATCTCCATGTGAGGTTGAAATCCCAGCCCTTTTTGCTCGGTCTGTGGTTCATGATATCCCAAATGGTGCCTATAACTGAACCAAATCTGACCAGAAGATAGTTAGAAGCCAATCATAGACCGTCGGGGATGGTTCACTCGAAAAAGGCCCGGTCCAGGATTGCCTGGTGATGCACATCGGAATAGGCGCATGTATGTAGCATGGATCTGTAACCATCGCAAATGGTGGATATGATCGGGATATAGGAGAGATATCACCAACAAAATAACAAGTGATATGGACTGAAACAGTGGATTCTGGCTAAATTGTAATAATTCATTCACTAAGCATCACTAAGCTGTACAAATAGATTAAATGTTGGGCTATTGGAAGATGATTCCCCGCAATCTAACCATCACTCCAGTGACGTCATGACATGGGGTAATCATTATTATTAATTCATCCAGAAAATATTGTGGGCGTGAAGACTGTTCGAAATTTCACAGTTTGCCGTGGCCCATTTAGTTCGATTACCTATTCATTTACGATAGCAAATTGTTTATTACATCAATTGTCAAGGTGCAATGTTTTATTTGGTACCCTGCGTCACTAAACTATATACAAATACATTTGTATGTATAGCAATAAGTACAGAAATATGTGTATGTACTAATATATATATATATATTTATTTATTTATTTACATAAAATATTATAAACATGTATATATATATATATGTGATATCATATTATATATATATCATATATTCATATATATATATACATACATCATTATACATCCTGTACAGTAATATTTAGCGGTAAAATATGTGTAGTATACAGCTCACTTTCCGGTGCCTCAGGTGATTCCTCTTGAGACAGCTTCTCAGCCAGCTGACGCACCACCTGGATGTGTTCACCATGACAATGGGGAGTTTATGGGAGTTTACTGACAGAATTTATGGATAAAGAACGCAATTTGGCCAGGGAAAAAGAAGTTCATCAACAACACCAGGATTTCACCAAGGGGAATGAAGCAAACAATCGTTTTAATCAAGGGATGTCGGGGAGTGTGTGTTTTTTGAACAAAATACGTCCAAACACACATATGTTTTTTGCAAGTGGAAAAGATTGGTGGAGCAACAGACCAAAAACCCAAAAGCCCACTTTTGTGGGCCATGTTTCTACCACCCAAGGTAGAATTCATATGTCAATATACCATATGTTTACACAGTCACAATTGTTTTCATGGATTGTAGAATTTGGGGTCCTGGTGGTGTGCCTTTCTGGTGCCTTAAAAAAAGGGTGGCCTCCAGTTTTGATGCACAAATGAGCACGGACCACGAGAGGTAGATAGTTTCCTGAGTTTTAGAATCCGTAGCCGGCTAAGTTTGCCGACTATATCGTTCGTTCAATTTTTTTCCAGCAGTTTGCCTCCATTCAAACAAGTGCCATGTCAAATAGAATTGGCTCAAGGGAAATGTCCATTGGAACCCTTCTTTTTTTTGATGGTAAAATATCCAAAAACAAACAGGGGAAAAAACATCGACCAGCGAACAGGTCCAGCCAGCAGTATCCATTGCCTCTGCCTCATCCTCTTCTTCTTCCATCTCTACCTGGCTGGTAATGCTACGGTGACCCCAATAAGGGGATCCAAGAGGTTGCATCGGAGGCTCCTTCAAATGCTGCGCGTTCTGACACCATGATGTTCTGTGCGCAAATGGTTCGTTATTGCCGCTATTTCCTTGATGATCCTCGATGGGGTCGATCATTCTGGGTCTATCCATTTTGGCTCAGCCACGCCCAGTGGGGCCTCGTATCTGGTAGACGGCATGCTGTAGTCCGCTGCCGACTCCTTCAAAGCATCAAGCTGTCGGACACGGGTCAAAATTAGGTACCCCTCTGATCATTTAACATGGCGTCAAAACACCATCTTTAGCAGCTAAATGCCTATCAAAATAGCGGGTCTTCCCATATTTTCCCATCTATTCCCGACATCTTCCTATGATCTTCCCATTAGAAGCTCCATGTTTGATGAGGATTCCCCGGCCATCCAAACACCACGGGCCATCCTTTCGATAGGACGAATAGGCTGGGCCATAACCATGGACTGTGCCGTAGGCAGACAGCTGACCTGCCGGATCTTGGGATTCAACTTGATTCAACCAACAATTTTCTGGGTGTAAAATGACCGATTTTGACCATGAAAAATGCTGAGAAATCACCAGATTGAATCAAAAATATGGGGGATAGGATTGGGATAGGATTGGGGGATTGTGATATTTTTATGGGGAAATGATGGTTTTTCATGGGAAAAAAAACAAACAAAAACCACCTGGTGGATTTTTCAGCGCATCATGCGCATCATGGCGGTGGTTCGTCCCAGTGGATCCATGGCCCACACAAAGCCACAGATCCTAACATCGCCAAGGGATGTAGGATAAAAATTAATGGGGATAGAATGGGATGTGTATAAAAATTAATGGGGATAGAATGGGATGTGTACATTACATATATATATATATTATATATATATTATATAATATATATATATAATATATATATGTGTATATATGTATATATATGTATGTATATATATATATGTATATATATATATGTATGTATATATATATATATCTTCGACCATGAATGAACCAGAGATATTTGGGATTATTTGAGGCATCTGAGAATCGAGGATAAGCCCTTAAAGTGGCAATGTTTTAATAGGGAAAATAGGGAAAATGATGATGAACTCGTGGATTTGGTATATACGAAACAAAAATGCTGGGCCTTGTCACCACAAATGGCTGGTCATAGCTGTCCAAGACTTTTTCAGCTTGCAACTGCGCAGGATTTTTGCCGCTCTTCAACTTTGTCAGGAAATGTGTTTTACACATCAACCCAAACATCTCAATCTGGTTCATCAAATTGCTTGGGTGAAACTGCTTATATTCAAAATCATGGATTACCCACCGGTAAACTAACATAGCGACAATGACCCATTTAGTTCGATGATTTACCTACTCAAAAATGGTGATTTTCCCTGGCA